CTGCACGTCTGCCATGAAGAAGCTAAAGCAGGCATTGATAGAGTATCCGGTCCTTAAGGTCGTCGATCCGTCCTTGCCTTTTGTCGTTACTACGGATGCTAGCCAGTACGGCATAGGCGCAGTGTTACAGCAAGACGATGGCAATGGCTATAGACCCGTAGAGTTCATGTCTGCTAGGATGCCTTCAGAGAAGGTCGCGACATCTACCTATGAAACGGAACTCTACGCTCTCAGGCAAGCCTTAGACCACTGGAAGCACTACTTGCTTGGGAGGCACTTCAAAGTCTATTCTGACCATGAGACATTACGATGGTTAAAGACGCAGGCCAAGATGACACCTAAGCTTACGAGGTGGGCCGCAGAGATAGATCAGTATGATTTTGAGCTCAAGCCTGTCAAAGGGAAGTACAACGTAGTTGTGGATGCTCTGAGTAGGAGAGCGGATTACTTTGCGGCAATAGTACATTACCTCGATATAGGGAAGGACCTGCAGCAGAGGGTTAGAGAAGCTTACGCGCAGGACCCTATCTATAGTGAGCTCCTTAAGAAAGTCAAGGAGGCCCCAGAGACTGAACCGAATTACCGCACTACCGAAGGGTTGCTTTTTGAGAAGACTAATGTATCTGACCGCCTGTGCATCCCCAATAGCGAAGAGATTCGTAGTCTGATTCTGGGCGAATGCCATGACACTGAGGGTCACTTTGGTTGGCAAAAGACTTTAGTCAATCTTATGCGTGCGTATACCTGGCCAGGGATGAAGAATGACTGCGTAGAGTATGTTCGAAGTTGCAAAGTCTGCCAGCGTAATAAGAGTTCTACTCGCGCCCCGCTAGGTCTTCTCAGACCCTTGCCCATTCCGGATCAGCCGGGAGACTCAGTGTCAATAGATTTCATGGACACTCAAGTCAAGAGCAGGCATGGCAAGAGCCAAGTCATGGTCATAGTTGACCGCTTTAGCAAGTACGCAGTTTTTGTTCCTTTGCCTTCAGAGAGGTTCTTTGACTGTTGGGTTAGTGAGAACGAAATCCCGCTGTCAATAGTTAGTGATAGAGATAGTCGTTTCACCAGCCAGAACTGGCAAGAACTCATGGGAGTGTATGGATCCAAGTTGTTGATGTCGTCCGGCCATTATCCAGAGACTAACGGTCAGACGGAGCAAATGAACAAGATCCTACAGCAAGTTTTGCGCATGTATATTAGGCCGGATCAGATTAACTGGGATGAGATGTTGCCCAAAGTAGCTAGTGCGTACAATAATAGCGTGCATCTGTCTACATGTCACACTCCCAACGAACTGCACAAGTCCGTTAGACCGCGCAGACCGTTTGAGAGACTCAACCGGGATCAGATTCACAGATTGTCGCCCGGGACCCGGGAGTTTGCTGTGCAGCACGAGAGAGAACTAGCTACCATTGTAGAAAACCTCAGGAAAGCCCAGCATAAGATGATAGAGCAAGCGAACAAACATCGTCGCCCTTCACAGTTCCAAGTAGGCGACTTAGTCTGGGTTAGTTCCAAAGAGTTTGCGCCTGAGGAGAACATCTCGCAGAAGTTACTGCCCACATATAGAGGACCGTGGCCTGTTCTAGAGGTCAAGGGCAGCGAAGATGGACCGTCCTATACCATAGAGCTACCAGCACACCTCCACACTTACCCAGTTTTCCATGCGTCAAAGTTGTTACCTTGTCAAACAAGTGATCAGTTTCCATCCCGTAGATCGATGA